GGTTTTATAATCAAAACTAAAATTTTTTTAAAGGTAACCGAAAGCCAGCAAAAGGCCTCGGTCAGATGACCAAAAGCTCCAGCACTGAGTCATCATATGACTAAGACCCGCATTGGGAAACACTTGTCCTAATTCCTGACAAATCTTACGTAATCTAAGACTGCTCTGAAAAGTCTAAGATCCTGTTCTTTAGATCCAACCCATCATTAGCAAACCTCTACCATTCCTTCCAAGTTTGCCTGCACTTTCTTTTACAGAAATTGAAATGATAGATAAGATGATAGCTTTTCTGCAAGATATTGATTGTATCACAGATTCTGATCTCTCCATAAATTCTGACCTGGCCATAGAACTGATCCAAGACTATACATTTTCAAATGTAATAAAGATCCTAAAGACGTCCATGACTGATACAATCATCAGATGCTGAACTTTACTACAAAGAGAGAGCACATTTACTCTACCCACTCATAACTAGTGATGGGATAATACCAAAACTTTTACCAATACTGTACCATCAAAATTAGCTAATACCCACTGATGCCATCAAAATTAACCAATACCTGCCGATACCATCAAAGTTAGCCAATACCCACCAATACTATCAAAGCTAGCCAATGCCCACCAATGCCTTACAAGTTAGCAAATGCCCACTTATACCATCAAAGTTAGCCAATACTGATACTCCTCTCAGCTTCTTGTCTATTCTGCTTCCTCTCAAGTTACAGTACTTATAATCTAGATCCCACATTTTGAGATTGATACCATTCCATAATCCATATAAATTAAGCCCCTAATAATTTCTCTCGTACTGCCACTGCATTAGGAGCTTACTGGTGTTTCACCCTCGCACTGTTTTTTTTTTTTTTTTTTAACTTAGTGTATCCATTTCTGCCTTGTCTCACTGACTAAAGGGCACAGATATCTTTTCCAGTCTGCCCTTTAATGCTCTGATGCCTTCAGTAGTCCAGGGCGGACCAAAACATCAGCGAAAATTTCCTCTCCATATTGTGGGTGACTTGTGAATGGGAACATGACCCCCGTTAAAAAGATTTTTTTCACTCCAGAAGTATGTTCAGGTGCCAGTACTGACCGAATTTGTTCCCATAAGGAATATTGTGAAGTAGATTAGTCCATTTCAGACCCCCAAACATACACGTACAAACGCACTTACATAAATACACTTACATAATTGGTCGCATTCGGAGGTGATCGTTATGCGGGGGTCCACTGTAGTTGCCCCTCCTTATGGCACCAACTATGACTTTCTCATTTATTCGTTCCTCATTGTGTATTTCTCTTAACACCAGCACAATGGTGCCATGACCCATACAGGTTAAGGCTTTGTGAATACAACTGAATTAGTGAGGAAAGCTAAAATTTCAGGAAGAACAATATTCAACCTTAAATTTACTTAAAAATGAGAAAATTATAATATACCAAACTTTAATTCATTAAACTAAAAAAAAAAAAATACTAAGTTAGTTTTTGTACCTTGCTTTCAGCTGTTTAGCTTCTGTGTCCTGCAGTAGTGGTAGCACATTTCCAATACTAGTGAGAGTTTCTTCCCACTTAACAGTGTAGATTTATCAGTGTTTCTCTTAAACATACTTTTACTACAAATGCATAAATTTGACATAAAAACTTCAGTTTCATATGTGCACATACCACTAAAAATGCAGGTAAATTTTGTTTTGGTTGTCTCCTACTAGGAGGATACACACGTATCATTATTCAATCATCATCTTGCCAGAAGTGTGCTGACAGCACAGTTCAAATAACCCTATGAAATACAGCATCCTCACCCTCTTTACAGTGCAAACACTGTACTTCCCACCTTCAGGACTCTAGTCTGCCTAATTGGTTTCCCTGAATTCCTTTGTTCATGCTCCAACTTCAGTTCAAGCCATAAAACCACTTTTCTTCACCTGCTCACACAAGCCTGTTGGATGTTAAGGCCCCTAGCACTCAGAACCTTTCATTCCCCCTCTCTCCTACCCTTCTGGGACCATGCCTACCCCTCCTTTCTTCTATCCCAGATATACGTATATATACTCTGCCCTCTTAGCCATCCTGTTTTGCTCCATCTCCTCTAAATGCCCAAACCATGTAAATTATACCTTTGGTAATCCCACAGTCTTCAAATCTCCATGCTCTGTATTCTCTACTTAACATTCACATTGCTCTCAGACTTGACAGCTCCATTACCTCCAGCCTTATCACTGCACTGAATAAAGCCCATTCATGCCTCACATTCATTTAAAAGCATTGGCATCACTATGATTTGGTACATTTCCATATTTGCTTCCATTAGATAAACTTTTGACAAATGCTTCGACACACCATCTATCTCTTTTTCTCTTGTCTATTCTAAGGTCACTGTCTCAAACTATGTACCAACATGTTCACTCTGAAATACATCCATCTCCTCTATACTCATTCCATCCAGTTTTTCATATTTTTATGGTAACGAAAAGTTTTTAATTATTGTGTGTTACAGTATTTACTAATTTTAAAGTATGGACTTTATATGCATTATTTTGAGGAGAGATATGATAGGAGCAATGACAAATGTAGGAATAATCTCCCCTTTAGTTGCCACATAGCAACCAATTTATGGGCTGCTCTTTCTCACACTGGTGAAGGACTCTCAATTCAAGAAACTGGACCTGTCCTCCCCTTCCTTGGATTCAACTCTTGTCTCCCATTCTCTAGGTGCCATATAACCTTTACAGATTTAGTGCTTCCCTCTAATTATTATATGGGTTCCTCATGTTTTGGAGTGGGTGGAACTTAAAGAAAAAGGAAGGACTGCTGTAAACATGGTGTAAATTGCCATTTTTTGTCATGAAAAAATTAAATTGTGTAAAGATTTATGAATTGAAAATGTATGTGTATTTTATACAGGTTAGAGCACTTTGTATCATCAATTAGTGTATTTTTTCATTATGCAGGATACCTTAATTTCAAAAGTACAGTAGTACCTCGGGATACAAACTTGAACAATTATATAAGTGTGTTTTTGTAAATGCTTTTGTAAGTGTACTTTTGGGGGTCTGAAACGGATTAATCTACTTTATATTATTCCGTATGGGAACAAATTCATTCGGTACTCGAACAGATCAGCACTCGAACACCCTTCTGGAACGAATTAGGTACGTATCTCGAGGTACCACTGTATGTATAATTTATTGGTGTGTGTAGTGGTTGTGTACCTTAATCATTCGGTATGTTATAGCATGCATATGTAGTTTGCTTAATGTAGCTGTGTGAGGTTTTTATTGGACCATGGTATGATTATCAAGTCCTAGTGCTTTTTAAATTTTAACATTCCTTCCTTCCAGATTAGTGGGTATAGAGTGACGAAAATCATGCCTGATTCTAGAAACTCTCAGAGTCCGAAGTCTAGATTTATACCACACTGCTTATAATTTTTTTGAGTGCTGTATAGCTGGAGGCAGTGGAGATGTCATGTCTGAGGGCAATGTGTGGTGTGAATATAATGCAGAGAATTCGTAGTTTGGAAGTTAGGAGGAGGTGCGGGATTACCAAAACTGTTGTCCAGAGGGCTGAGGAAGGGTTGTTGAGGTGGTTCGGACATGTAGAGAGAATGGAGCGAGACAGAATGACTTCAAGAGTGTATCAGTCTGTAGTGGAAGGAAGGCGGGGTAGGGGTCGGCCTAGGAAAGGTTGGAGGGAGGGGGTAAAGGAGGTTTTGTGTGCGAGGGGCTTGGACTTCCAGCAGGCGTGCGTGAGCGTGTTTGATAGGAGTGAATGGAGACGAATGGTTTTTAATACTTGACGTGCTGTTGGAGTGTGAGCAAAGTAACATTTATGAAGGGGTTCAGGGAAACCGGCAGGCCGGACTTGAGTCCTGGAGATGGGAAGTACAGTGCCTGCACTCTGAAGGACGGGTGTTAATGTTGCAGTTTAAAAACTGTAGTGTAAAGCACCCTTCTGGCAAGACAGTGATGGAGTGAATGATGGTGAAAGTTTTTCTTTTTCGGGCCACCCTGCCTTGGTGGGAATCGGCTAGTGTGATAATAAAATAAATAATAATTTAGAATATACTATATTTTCTTTAGACATGCATATATGGAAATGTCAGTTCATGTCTGTTGGAAAGGTGTATGATCCAGTGAGAAAAAATACACATAATTCAACATCTTTCTCCAGTCTCTACAGATTCCCCTAGCTCTACGTGGTCGAGCAGTCAGTTCTGAACACCTTTCCTGACCAGCTGCTTCTGCCATGGCCGGCCTTTGGTAGAGACTACCCCAGTGCTTGCTGTTCCTCTGCCTTCTCTCCATGATCACTGATAGTGAAGCCTGTTCCAAGAATTTTCAGAAACATGCTTACCATGCACTCGTTCAAATTGCCGCCTGTTCAGCACCTTCTACTCTGCGTTAACATAATTTGCTACCCACAACAGCAGCTTTAGTTTCCCACCATTAAAATTTAGGCTGAATATTTTCAATTTAAGGATAATTTTTGTGAGCAATATAGGTAATTCCTTGTCATCTACTAAACAGTTAACTGCTCTTTCATCTTTGGACACCAATCCATGAAAATTTTTACAAAAATTAACAAATCAATAATTTAATGTAAAACTATGAAATAAACACAGGTAACACTAGTGTTTTGCTGAGACAGATTTTGTGGAAGCTCAATGGACTGAATTTATAAATCTTTTAAAATTTATTATGCTATTTATTTGGTGTGTGTGTGTGTGTGTATGCAAAGTAAATAAATAAACAAACATACACGTGTATATATGATAAAACTTGGTAAAATAATCATATTTTAGTTGGGCCCCATCTCTTTCTAGTGTCTGTTTCCCCATTTCACAACTATTAGAGTATGATACAATTTCATTATGTGCAGGTACATAACATCTTCATTTTGGTGAACATAGGCTTACAATATATTGTAGATATTAATTACTGATGAGGTTTTGTGTGTGTGCTATCAGTGGCAGTGGGGATTATGGGTCTTCTAAAAACGTTATAGCACTTTATTTTGCCGTACCTTAAACAGCAGCAGCAGTGTGGTAGGTTCAGTGAGGACAGGTTGTAAACATCATGGGAAACATTAAGCCTCAAGTGATAAGTTCATCTACATAAGTTATCTTGCTAGTAGCAGGTGGCAGCTTGGTCTTCCAGTGTAAACAAGAACAGAAATTTAGAGAAACTTCCTTAATTCTGTGAGATATGCATGGGTTAGGTAACAAATATGTACGTAGGTTGTTAAGATCAGATCTCTCTGGAATAAATTTTGGAAAGTTTAAGCATAGTGTAGAATGTGGGTGTCTTGTTGTGTAGTGAGAATACTGACACTGCAATGTTTGGATGCCTAAGCTGCATTTACAATCCATTGACTGGTATAGTGTAGTTACCAGGAACATTAACTACATATTGTGCTATAGTATGCATATAGTTTTCAAGGCCTCATCTTAGCATGTTTCAGAAGTAATCATCTTGACCCCTGGCAGTAATTTTAACCAGTCTACATTCTATCATAATTATATTGCAGTTCATTTTGATTTCTTGCACATGTATAGCCACAAAATGGTCAAGCTATTCCGTTTTGTAATTTATTGAACTCAACTGCTATCTTTTGAGCGAGAGGTGTGCATGTGAAAAAGAATTTATATTTAATATAAATCTTGCGATTCAGTGTTTCTGTACCGGGAGAGCGGAAATATATTGTAATTTTCAAATACAGTAATCATTGTGCTGCTGTTGACCAAGGAAATGATATTGCATTCCAGGATGATCTTGATAGATATCTAGTCTTTTATTTATGTCATATTTATGCATTTGTTTCAAGTTGGTTAATTTGACAGCTGGTGTGCTGATCAGAATTAATATAATCTGTAAATTTTTGTGATGTTATACTATGTAATAAAGGTAATTTAATTTTCTGTACAAAAAAATAATTAACTAAATAATTTGTAAAGGTAATGCCATTTTATTCTGTCAGTTATATTTGGTGAAACTTGGACTGTATGCATTATAACTACTAACAAAAAACTTATGCATGTCCTGTGATATCTGGAGTTATTGTTTCCAGTGAAGCTGTGACTCTAGTAAACCTGGTATATGTGATCTGGTATCAGTGTTGATAATAATCATAATAATCAGTTATTTGGAAATATTGTCTCAAAGATTACTTTAAGAAATATAAATTTCCTGGGACAATAAGAGCCTTTAACAAGCTCAGTGAGAAAAGTCATGCTGTGCTGTCAGTATCACTAATCGGCTGTGTTGTGCACACGTGGTTGTGGTACGGGAATCTTCAGTCTCTTGCATCTGATATAGAAGCTGTAAAGGTTCCAACATCTCAGCTGTCTGAATGTTCACAACTTAAATTTTTGTTAGCTTCATGTCTGCTTTTGTCTGTGCATTCCCACAGTGACACAGCAACCAGTGTAGAAAAGTTATCAATAAACAACTTGATGGCTTAATTGACTTTTATTTATGATACAGCAAAACCTCTACTATCTGCACAGAAGAAAGGTGTGACATGGCCAGACTATAGCCTGTATCTCCAAGAAAACTGACTGCCAACTATTTTGTATAATCCTGTCACTACTCGACACAAAATTTACCTCTCCTCTCTAATGCACTTCATCTGACCTCCCTGCTGAAAGCCCTACCTCTGATGCAGACTCCATCTTTGACTTCATCAGCAATCACTTTATTACACCAACTTTGATTATATTTTCTCTTTAGCACAAACTGCAACCCTTACTAACTTCACCTTTTGAGTACTCCTAACCCTCACTGGTCTCCGATCATTGTATATCTCATCATTAGCATACCCAGCCCTGCAGTGCTGTATGACCTTTGTGGGTTTAACACTTAGTTTTATAATAAGAATGGACTACCTTCCCTTCCCTTGGATTGTATCTGATTGCTCTCCATTGCCCTGGTGCTGTATAACACCTAGAGGTAATGTAGTAATAAGAGGTTTAGCATTCCCCAATTAATGTGCAGTAACAATTATGTTTACAACTGTTAGTCACTTACCTTGAAGATCTCTCTCTTAAATCTGTGTCCATTTTGAGCAGACTGTCTCAGAAATTGATTGCTTTCACTACCTCAACTTTCCTCGCTGCTTCTCGTAAGTCTTGCCTACCTCTACTGTGGCAGCAGAGGTACATGGTGCCTTCACCTTCTGCCTCATGTCTTAGAGCCTTTCACCATGGCAATGCATATAATGATAATGACTTCATTTCAAATTAATGGACAACATATACATTACATGTACAACATGTATATGTACATTACATTTGTAAGAATACATTCATGGGGAAGTGCCAGACCCAAGGTCACAGTGCTTGGAGAAATGGGATGTATTCAGGTTTAATCCAAGGAAATGGGAAAAGGTCCAATTTATTAGATCAAGAAACATCCCTTGGACACAAAAAAAAACTGAAGAGGGGAGGGACCTAGACTAGAACTAGGGTTAATTTTTCTAATGGGTCTAGTACAAGGTATTTACTTAAGCTAAAAGTAAAGATAAAAAAAATATAGTAATTGACAATTTGCATACACCATATTTTTTGGCATATAAGGTGCACGACTGCAGCGCTGTATAGCCCTTGTGGCTTAGTGCTTCTTTTTGATTATAATAATAAGGTGCACGAGCATATAAGACAATGTTTCCATGCAGCTGTAATGTAACGTTAGTAAACAACTGCTGAAGCATATCCCAAAGCCTACCCTTGAGCACAGAAGGTGCAGTATGATTTTTCCAAGACACTTTGAGGAAAAAAAAAAGTGCACCTTATGTGTTGGAAAATACAACAGTTGCATGGAATAATTTATGAAATTACAATGCAATGATTATTCTAGGCAAAAAATCTTCAGAATAGCAATGTTCAAATGAGAGGACAGGAATACAATGACAATGAGAATCTAAGTAATATGGATATTGAAAAAAAAGTATAATGAAAATTCTATGTCAAACTCTTGTTACAACAGTTATGCCAAAGTGAAGAGATAGTAACGTAACATAATATTTGGGAGTAGAAAAAAAGTACAGGAGGATGAATAATGGATGTAAACACAACAAGCAGGTTTATAGATGTGTTTAACATAGTATATTTGACAATATATTTGTGCCTTGAAGAGGTAGGCAGATGGAAATCTATGGAATCTTCTGGCTGACAGTAGAGCTGTATGGCCCTTGGGGTTTAGTGCTTAGTTACGTTATAATAATCTGGCTGACAGATTATACATAATCTGCATAAAAGGCCCCAAATTTTGGGGCCTTTTATGTATACTGGGCGTTTATTCAGATTTAGCTGAAAACGGGATATCATTGAGGCATTCTTGTATTATACCTGTGAGTTCTGTTACAGCTCTCCAAAAAAAGTTTCAGAGCTCGGTTTCTATTTGTAGGGATTGTTCTGTATATCCAGCTGTATAGCCCTTGTGGCTTAGCGTTTCTTTTTTATTATAATAATCTGTATATCGAGCATGCACAGTAGAATGAGTGAGTGTTTTGCATGTTAAGTTTAAACTTTTGAAGAGTAGAGGTGTGTGTTGTCTGGCACTTGCTCGAGTGATCATTCACACAGTAGGTATACAAGAGCATGCCCTCTGATACCATAAGGGTCTAATTTGAAAAGCAGGATGCTGTGGTCTACTGTATCAAAAGCTTTCCAAAAGTCAGTGAACAGACCATGTCTTTTTTTTTTTTTTCAGTGAATTTATTATGAAGGTAGCTTCAGTAGGATTGGTCCAAGAAATTCTGTTTCTTCTTATCTTCCCCCAGACTGAATCTAAATACCTTACTCTTTTTGGTTTCATTAGTGAGGATACTTTTCACTTTGCAAAATTCAACCACACAGATGGAAAATAAATTTCAACTGACTCTGTTCTAATGCAATTAGCATTGATAATGGTTGTGTCAATTCATCCTATGGGAATTGCACCATCTTAAAGAGCATGTTAGATAACCCTCAAGTAAGATATCACGTGGCCATCTAGTAGGACCTCTTGGTGGAAGTACTACTTAAGGTTGCCTGCAGATCCAGGAGTAGGAACTGAAAGTATATGACTTCTGGCATTCTTTCTGGTTCATCTGCCGTCATTAATAATTGAAAAATTGCACAGTAGGTGCTCTTGCCCAAACAGATTTATTTTGCTAAGCCTTGCTCTATGAATTCTGGAGGTGGCATCTTGATGTACAACAGGTAGGGTACGGAGTGATTTCCAAGGAAGACCAGCACTGTCACAGAGGTGATCATGGCTTAGAGTGGGTATGTAGTTTCTTATTCTCAGAACCCTTGTGGGTTTAGCACTTAGTTTTGATTATAATAATAAATAATATTCTCAGTGCTGTCCCCGACCATTTTATTTTTTGTGATGAATGAGACATTACCTAATTCTCCTAGAGTCCCACTGACTGCAACACCCTCTAATGGCCCCATCACAGCTATGGACTCTCCTCAAAACTCCCAATGGTTTTTGGGTCATGTGTTACCTAAACCCAGTACCAGTAGGTACATGTACCCTCTGGTACCTATGATCCCCACTGTACAGTGACTATAAAACAAACTTCCTCCATAATGAACAACAATTTATAGATTGTTCATGTGTCAAAACAGACTGGCTTGAAGTCTCATGCCATAAAACCTTGCCACAATAAACCATACTGATATTCTAGTTGCATTCCTTCTCACTAATGTTCCAAAAATAAAACACCCACCGGAAATCTGTTTTCCTACAGAAATTCCCCTCAGGGAAGGCTCCTTGATGTTGGTGAGGGGCTCTTGATTTAGGGAATTGGATCTGTGCTCCAGTTCCCCGAATTAAGCCTGAATGCCTTCCACATCCCCCCCGGGCGCTGTATAATCCTACGGGTTTAGTGCTTCCCCTTTATAATAATAATCCTACAGAAATTACCTGTACCTCTACTATTACAATTATACTGTCACCTCTCATTCTGCTACTACCAGCCCTGCCCCCCTTTCTTATATATACCGATTCCCTCAACTTTGTGCTTCTGTGTGACTGGTTAATGGTCGAAGTCAAACAAAAACATCATTAGTTTCGTTGTGTGTGCGAAGGATATTTGTGTTGTTCCTGAGGGACTGACCACCTCAAAACTTCAAGGGTGATGGACTGATTACATTGTCTTCAAGAATCTTCTGCTTCTATCAACTTTTCTGTACTCGACTGAAGAAGCCTACTGTGTAGGTGAAACGTTTCGAAATAAAGATACCTAACTGTTGCATATGTGTCTTACCTAACAACCTGTCGGTATTTTATACCATTTTAATGTTCACTCGTTGTTCCTGTATATTGAAAACAACACTAGACAAAATTCATTCCCAATCAACCAACAAATCCAGAGGCTCACCTTACAAACCATTTTGTCAAGGAATTTATTACCTTCATCAGTCAAAATGTTTCTTTCCATGCTCTAAGTGGATAGCACATTGCCACCATAAATAACTTAGAACAGGCCACCAACCTGTCTCATATCCACACTATCAGGTACATCCTCATCACAATACAAAAACATTCCTTTCTCAATTTACAGTATGAGACTGTCATCATCTCACACACTATATTACAAGAACAGCTTGAGGTACATCTATCACCAAAACTGAAACATGTTTGTCCTGCCCACAGGTGGAGACAATATCTGAGCAATGTAGCTATATTAACCCTCAACAGCTGTAATACCTGGAGTATATGTGGAGGGGTTTTTGGAAGTTAACGCCCCTGTGGCCCAGTACATGACCAAGCCTCATGGTGGATCAGAACCTGATCAACCAGGCTGTTACTGCTGGCTGCACATAAACCAATGTACAAATCACAGCCTGCCTGGTCAGGTACTGATTTTAGGTGCCTCTCCAGTGCCTTAAGACAGCCAGAGGTCTATTGGTAATCCTTATGTATGCTGGGAGGCAGTTGAACAGTTTTGGGCCCCTGACACTGATTGTGCTGTCGCTTAGCATACTCGCGGCGCCCCTGCTTTTTATTGGGGAAATATTGCATCTGCTGCCAAGTCTGCTTTCGTATGGAGTGATTTTTGTGTGCAGATTTGGGACTTGTCCCTCTGGGATTTTCCAAGCGTATGTTATCATGTATCTTTCTCGCCTGCATTCCAGGGAGTACAAATCAAGGAATTTCAACCATTCCCAGTAGTTTAAGTGCTTTATTGTACTTATATGTGCTGTAAAGTTCTCTGTATATTCCCCAGGTCTGCAATTTTCCCTGCATTGAAAGGGGCCATTAGTGTACATCAATATTCCTGCCTAGAGAGAACAAGCTATTTGAAGACAATCAAGCAGAGCTGTATAGCCCTTGTGGCTTAGTGCTTCTTTTTGATTATAATAATAATGAAGAGAATCATGGGCTTGGCATCCCTAGTTTTGAAGATTCTCATTATCCATCCTATCATTTTCCTAGCAGATGTGGTAGATACATTGTGATCTTTAAAAGCGAGATTGGCATTATCACTCCCAGGGCTTTCACATTAGTTTTTTGCTCTATTGTATGGTAACCTGCCGTTCTCAGTCTACAATGTAGGGCAATGCTTAGAAGTGGCACTGTTGTGTTGGAAAAGTATCTACAGATCAAAGATATATAATACCAAGATGTTGACAAATCAGACACATGTGCAATACTTGGGTACAAGAACATCAACACCATTACTAAATCTCTGGTCTACCCTATGGGAATGACTTATGTACTTCCATGAGTGGGCCTTGCCACGTGATACATATATATAGATATATATATATATATATATATATATATATATATATATATATATATATATATATATATAAAAACACTGATCTCTGGCTGAAGGAGACTCGAACCTACGAACCTTGGAACAAGGTACGCAGTGCTATACCATTCTCACCACACTGGACCAATACCTTAAGTAAGTAAGTAAGTAAGTTTATTCAGGTATACACAAATACAGTTACATAGAATTATCATACATAGCAGCATATGTGTAGAGAACCTAGGATAACCCAAAAAAGTCAGAGTGACTTATTTCCATTGGGGTCCTTTGTTGGAGTCCAGCTTGCGCTAGAGATCAGTGTTTGTATATATATATATATATATATATATATATATATATATATATATATATATATATAATGTATAATCATGTGCAATAAGAGCACAGTAAACAGGTGATATCACAACATGCAGAACAACCACTGTGAGAAAATAGTGAAATTCCATGTGCTTTCATGATTTCTCACATTATCAAGGAACTGTAAAAATAAAAGATTAACAGGAAGGCACACAGGGTAATATTTTGTGAAGAGATTCAGGGAATCTGGTTAGCCGGACTTGAGTCCTGGAAATGGGAATTACAATGTGTGCACTTTAAGGGAGGGGTTTGGAATATTGGCAGTTGGAGAGACATCTAAACTGTCGTATCTGAGCGTCTCTGCAAAGACTGATTATGTATGAGTGATGTTTAAAGTGTTGAATGATGAAAGTTTTTTCTTACTCTTTGGGTCACCCTGCCTAGGTGGGAAACGGCTGGCCAGTTTATATATATATATTGAATATAGTTATGACACGATTGAACCGCAGGTTCAATCCCGCCCGTGGTATGACTGAATATAGTTAAGAGTAAAATTTTCGACGTTACCGAAATCTGTTGTTATATATTGCCAGCCTAGTTTCTATCTTAAAGTAATTGATACTTTTTAAGACTTGCTTGTGTCAGTGCTCTCAAATTAACTTTGAAGCTAAATTTAAGCAAAGTAAAAAAAAATTGCAACGGTCGCCAATAATTGTGTTCGCTGAGTTAGGTGACTGGTCGCTGTGCAGTGTTCGCTGACTTAGCATCAATACACAACCACAGCAACATCTGATTTGTGAGTCCAGTACGTATTTAATTTTTGCCATAGATTCTGTACAGACTTAATGCTTCGTTTATAATGTTACGTTACAATGGCGGCCAAGCAGCTGTATTAGGTAAAAGTAGTACGCTGGTCTTTCATCTAGGTCAAGGACATGCAGGTGACAGGCTGATTATCATAGGCTCAGAGGATCACAGGCAAGTCTTACAGGAAAACAAATGATAATAGTATTCTTTATTTCTACAAGTACATGTACAAGGTATACTGCTAGCCGACATCAATGACATACTTCTATACAGAAAGCCTCTTTGTTAAGGTACTTAAGTTGCCTGTTTTAACTTGTAAGGTTTAAATAACAAGTTATTACAAGGACTCCAGTGGAAATGAGTCACTTTCTCTGACTTTTTTGGGGGTTATCCTAGGTAATCTACACATACGCTGCTATATATGACAATTTATATCTACATAGTATACTTTTTTGTGTGCCTGCAACTTCTTTGTGCCCTCACAACCGTTGTAAAAAAAAAAACTATGTATCCAAAGCCTAAATTATAATTTCTTCTAATGCCCAGCCGAAGGAGTACCTCACTGGCAACTATCCTAATACTCTATTTCTAGCTCCAGCTAAATCTACTGAAGTCTCACTAGTCATTAATTCATTAAAAAACAAAGCAAGAGATCTAGATAACTTGCCATCATTCATGGTGTTGTCTGGTGTTGTGCCTGTGGGTTCTGTCACAACTGTCAAGAAAGCGTTTTAGGTCAAGGTTAATATTGGAATTTAAGGTCCTGTAGATGTAGATTGCACAGTAGTAAGTGTGGATGTACTGAACAGGGAGTAAGTTTAGATCTTGAAGAGTGGGGGGGGGGTGTTTTCCAGGGATGGGATTTAGTGTTATTCTTACTGCGGTTTTTTTTTTGGGGTTATTTTTTGGCTTTAGGTGTGTTGCTGCAGTTGAACCCCAAGCACAGGAAGCTAGGTTTAGTGTGGGGTATTAGTGAATGGTATAACGTGAGAAAGAAGTTTGCGGCACGTGTATCGTATCTTGAGAGGACCCAACCGTTTTGGATACTTTTTTGGTAATGTGTTGGATATGGGTTTCTGAAAGTTCAGGTTTGTTGTCGAGGTATAGGCCTAGGAATTGCCCTCATTATGCCTGGCAATTAGAGTGTTGTCGATCTTAATGTTAATTTGCGCATCTCCTGCTCTGCTACCAAACATAATGTAGTAGGTTTTGCCAGTGTTAAGCATAAGTTTATTGGCTGTCATCCAAGTCGATATTTTGATCAGCTCCTCATTAACAATGGTGTTGGGGGGTGGCAAATTAGGGTGAGAGATGACTAAGTCGTGTTTTTCCAGAAAGAAATGGGGTTCAGGTGTTGAAAAAACTTTTGGGGAAATTTCATTAAAGTAATGGGGAAAAGCAGGGGCCCAAAGGGACACTTCCCTGCGGAACCCCAAGAAACAAGGGGTTGTGTTGTTGATGTTTGTTTTAAAAATTTGGTGACAAACTGATACCAAAATTAGAAAGGTAAGTTTTTGAAATATGCAAGCGCTTGGCCTTTTAAACCCATAATGGTCAAGTTTTGTGGAGAAAGGATGCCGTTCTATGTGCCCAAAACCCTTTTCTTAGGTCAAAAAAAAATTCCTAGTGGATATTTTCCCTTTTTTTTCCAATGCTGTGTAAAGCAGATCAGCATTTTTATGATTTTTCATCCCTTTGTGCTTTTTTTTTTTCCCGAATCCAAATTGGCAGGGTTGAGTAGTTTTTTTTTGCCGTTTAAAATTTAATATAGTCTCCTGTGCACGAGTTTCTCAAAGAAATTTTGGGTTTGCAAATGGTAATTTGATATTGGGGGCCCAAAAATTGTTTTTAAAACTGTAAAGGGGCACCAAAACCCTTTTTGTATTGGTGTAACCCTTTTCCGTCTTTTAGTAGTTTCGGGAAGGTTTCTAGTTTCTAGTGACTTGTTTTAAAAAATTTAAAGGGGATAGCATTTCGAAGGAAAAGGGGCCCCTCTCTTGTACAATAATGGTGGGACAAAGAGAAAAGAAATTTCCCCCGAGTTATTTTTAAAGTGACTTTATAAACTCGGTGACTTTCCCTGGGGTCAATGGAGCAAGAATAGAAGGAAATTAAAAAATTCATAGGTAGCACCGGGATTTGTAAGGATTTTTTGGGAGATTGAACCTAGGGTTTAAAAATTGTTTTTTTGTTAGCTGTTGGGGTGGTTTTTAGGTTATTAAAAATTTTTTTTTTTCTTTTGGTTTAGGTTAAAGTGTGTATTCCAGGTTTTTTATTCCCTGTGGGAAAACTGAGATATTAGTGTTTTTTTTATTATTTAATGAAGATGTTTTAAAATAGGGGGATTAGGGTATATTTTTTTTTGAGTTTCTTTAAATGGTTTAATTTCTGTTTTATCCTGGGAAAAGCGTTTGTTTTTGGTGTTTTTAAATTTTTTAGTATGTAGGAAAAAAATTTTATTTCGTTTTAATTGGTGGGGGGGGGGAAAAACCTGGTCACTGAATCTTTTTGGGCCTAGGTTAAAATTTTTTTGTTTGGGGTTTGTTTGTAAAAGGGGAAAGGGAGGGGGCTGTTGGGAGGGAGTGTAAGGGGGTTTTGGTCCAAGGGTGGGTTTTTTGTTTGGGTGGTGGTTAGATGTGGTATGATTGTTGTTTTTTGTGAGTATTGGGATAGTGGGGAAGGTTATGTGAAGTCCGTAAGGAAAGGGGGGCGTTTATTTTGTTTGTTTTAGTTTTTTCGATGGGGTTTTGTGGGGGGGAAATTTGGTAACCCAGTAAGGGGCTTAAAAGGTTTTTCGTTTTTTGGCTCATTCTATCAAAAGGTGTTAAAAAATTGGTTTGGAGAATTTGCAAAAACCCCCTGGATGGTACGGTGGTTTTTGTTTTTGAGGGTAATTTTTGGTCGCTTAAAACCGGAGAGAAAGCAGGAAGGGTGTTTAGTGTTGGGGGGGGGGGTTTAGGTGGTTTAAAGGGGTGGTTTGGTGGGGTTGGAAGTGGTTTGGGTGGGGGGGTTTTTGGGGGGTTTTTTAAATGGGGGGTTTGGGCGGTTTCCCCGGGAGGGAGTTTCCCTTTTTTTGGGGTTGGGGGGTCCGGGGGGGTGGGGGGGGTTTGTGGGGGGGGGGGGGGCTTGGTTTTTTGGCCTGTGGGTTTTTTGTTGGTTTTGGGGGTGGGGGGGGGTGGGTGGTGGTGGGTTTTTTTTGGTTTTGGGGGGGGGTTGATTTTGGGGTTTGTAGGGGGGGTTTTTCCCGGTTTTTTTGGTTTTTTTTTATTTTTTTTTTTTTTAGTTTTTTTTTTTTTTAAATTTAAATATATCTTAAATTTTTTTATTTAATTTAAATTTTTTCCAAAAATTTTTTTTTTTTTGTTAAAATTTATTTTTAAAAAATTTTTTATTATATTTAAAAATAATAAATTAAAAAAAATTTTAAATAAAAATTATTTTTTTATAAAATTTTTTTTAATTTTTTTAAAAAAAAAAAAATTTTCCTTTTCCCCAAATCCCAAAAAAAACCCCCGAATTAGCTATATAAGTAATTTCAGTTTGAATTTTATATTTGCCAACCATTTTATCCTTAAAGTAATTAAATTTTAAATTGTTTTTTTTTCAATTCAATTTAATAATTTTAAAATAAAAAAATTCACCTCGCCAATATGTTTAATAAATGGGGAAAACGCTGTCCCAATGTTCTACTTGCTAATTTTAAAACATCTCTATTTTGGGCCTAGTTTAATTTTCTATTTTAGGGTTAATCTTCCCAAATGCGGTTAATGGCAGGGACTTAAAAAAGTGATTTCCATGGGCCCCCAAAAGGAAAACTTTATCAATACGGTGACCGTGATTCAAGGTAAGTAGGCCTTGGCTCAAAAAAAATAAATAGTAAATTTCTTTTTATACAGTAATAGGGACCAGGGGTTTAAACTGCTCCTTGATTTTCCGGTTTGTTAAAAGGACCAAGTTGTGAAAATTGTGGTTTTAATAGTTTCGGTTTAAATCCATTTAATATTTTTTTTCAAAATAAATTTCCCAAAAGCTTTTTATAATTTTTTCTAAAGTTATTTTTTTTTCCTTTAGTTTATTTTGCTTTTCCCTTTTTTTAAAAAAAAACTTTTCACCAAATTTAAATTTTTCTATGCCCCCAATCCTCTCAACTCCCAATACTCATTTCAGCTCCACAAAAAAGTTATTTTAATTTTAAAAAAAAAGGGTCTAAAATAATTTAATTTTTTTTTTTTGGGCTTTGGGGTTTTCCCTTAAAAAATTTTTTAAGGAATATTGGAAATTTAAAATTTTATTGAAAAAATGGGGTTTTTAAAAAGAAAATTTTAAAAAAATTTTTTTTTTTGGGGGGGGGGGGGGGGGGGGGCCGGGAAAAATTAGGGGGTGAAAAAAAATTTTTTTTTTTTTTTTTTTTTTTTTTTTATAAATTTTTGTTGTTATTTTTTTTATTTTTGCTCATTAACCCCCAACACAAAAGCATGGGGGAGGTTTAAAAAATTGGGGGAAAAAAAAATTTTCCCCCCTTTAAAATTTTTGGGGGACCCAAACCTTTTGGTCTTTTTTAATGGTTTATTTTCTGAAAATCGGTTTGTCATTAGGCCGGGGAACCCCAAACCCCCCAAAATTTGCATTTTTGTTTAATTTCGATCCCTTTTTTTTCCCCAAAAATTTGGTTTTCCAAAGCAATTTTTGGTGTCTCCAAGTCAATTTTTTTCACTCCCCAAAAAGGGTTTTAAAAATTGGGGGAAAAATCATAATTTTCCCCAAAGGAAAAGGGGTTATTTTTTTAAAAAGGGGGTCAAAAATTTAAAAAACAGGGGGGGGAAAAATTCCATAATGGAGTTGGTGTTGTCTATGTGTTGTGCTGGAATGAACTAAAGTACAACTAGGTATAAACTCTTCAACATTTCTCGTGTCAGTCTCATACTATGACTATGCAGGAACGCAGTGCACATAAAGGGCCTGAAGATCTGGAACTCGCTGCCTGAACCAGTAAAGGAT